CTGTACTGTCTTTAATTTTGGTATCAGCCTCACAAAACAAATTGAGAAGTGTTTGCTTCCTCTTCTTTATTTCTGCATGAGATTTTATATAATTGGTATTATTTATTCCTCAAATGTTTGGTAGAAATCAACAGTAAAACTGGGCCTTCAGTTTTCTATTCTGGAAAGTTTTTAAATAAAGATTTGATTTCTTTAACAGATATGGGACTATTTAGGATATCTATTTCTTCTTTGCAAGTTTGATAGTTTGTGTCTTTCAAGGAATTGGCCATTTTTCTTCTCACTGACTGAATTTATGTGCATAGAATTACTCATAGTACCCACTTTCTATCATTTTAATGTCTAGGGATCAGTAGTTTTACTCCCTAATGTTGTCCTTTAGAAGAGAGGATAAATGGATAAATAGAAGTGGTACGTACATTCAATGGACTATTATTCAGCCTCAAAGAGGAAGGAAATTCTTCCATATGCAACAACATAGATGAACCCTGGAGGCACTATACTAAGCGAAAAAGGCCACAGAAAGATACATACCACATGCTCATACTCATATGTAGAATCTAAAATAGTCAAACTCATAGAGTCAAAACACAGAATAGTGGTTCCCAGCATCTGGGGGTGAAGGAAATGGGAAATTAATACTAATTACATATGTCAAATTTCAGTTATGTGAGACGAATAAATTCTAGAGGTTTGCTATACAACATTGTACCTATAGTCAATGATACTGTATTGTACACTTAAAATTTTGAGAGGATAGGTTTCATGTTTTATTTTAAAATTCAAGAGACATGGATGCATTTTGAGAAGGAGGCACAGGCACACACACACACACACACACACACACACACACACACACACCCCTATCCAAATGAACTTGACTACACGGGGCATGGTGGTGCACACCTGTAATCCTAGTGACTTAGGAGGGTGAGGCAGGAGGATTGCAAGTTCTAGGCCTCCCTCAGCAACTTAGTGAGACTCTAAGCAACTTAATGAGACCATGTCTCAAGATAAAAACTGAAAAGGGCTAGGGATGTAGTTCAGTGGTTTAAGACCCCTGGGTTCAAACCTCAAATGAGTTTAACTGAAATAACTTTGTCCTTAGAGAAGGGTGACAGTTTCTTTGAGCCCATTTTTTTCTAGAAAAGGTCCTTGACATCCAAAGACAAGATGGGTATCTCTATACTCTGCCATTGCATCCAGCGGATGCCTCCTGAAGGAGCCTCCTAAAGGTAAGATGCTCATGTTTTTTCTCTTTGGGGGAGAGCACACTGCTTGTGTGACACTGCTTGTGTGTAGCAGGAGTAAACTAAATATTTGCTGAAATAATGAATTCATGAATGAATGAGGATCAGACTCTTAAAAAGGGTCTAGGACTGGGGTACATTACAACAGTGGACTGGAGCTCAGCTTGGAGGTCACTGCTGGTTATCAAATAAGGTCCCAGGAGAGAATGGCAATGTGTTGAGCTACCTTCCAAAACACCAACATGTGACTACAAAATATGCAAAATTAACCTCATGCTCCACACCCAGAAAAAGATAAGAAGGCAAGGCAGACAGGTGACATCTGAAGAGTAGACTTCAGAGTGATTCTTCTTTCCTATACATTTTTTTTTGTGTGTGTGTGTTACAAGTTTTCCACACAAGCCTAAAACTCCTCTGTTCTTATCCTGTGTGTAGAAAGCTGCTTCCTGATCTGTAATAGGTCCAACAGGAGGATGCTTAATATCCTGCATAAATGAACAAGGCTGATAACCCTGAGCCATTTTCCTCAAAATGTAGATGAGCAAATTGTGAACCAGGCCTACAAACAAGTATTCTCTGTTGAGCACAAACCCAGTACCTGGCTTGTAGTCACCACTCAAGGTGTCCCTGTGCAGATCAGCACCTTTGGCAAACCAGGCTTCATGTTTATTAAAACAGTCATTGTGTTCTTCCCGCCTTCTGCCCTACAGGGTTTCTCCATTCCTTCAAAGAAGGGAACACAAGATGTGGAAAAGAGGAAGAAGAGGAGGAGGAGGAGGAGGAAGAGGAGGAGGAGGAGGAAGAGGAGGAGGAGGAGGAGGAGGAAGAGGAGGAGGAGGAGGAGGAAGAGGAGGAGGAAGAGGAGGAGGAGGGAGGGGAGGAGGAGGGAGAGGAGGAGGGAGAGGAGAAGGAGGAGGGAGAGGAGGAGGAAGAGGAGGAGGAGGGAGAGGAGGAGGGAGAGGAGGAGGAAGAGGAGGAGGAGGGAGAGGAGGAAGAAGAGGACAAAGATGAACAGGAGTGCTAGAGCCACAGCTGCTGGAGTGCCCAAGGCAGAACTGTGTACCCATCTGGGGACACTTCAATAATCTAACTTTATGGCCCATGCCCTGGAGGGGGCACTGGGGAGATGGCAGCCCCAGGAGCTGTGGGCGAAGTACCTGACATCACAAGATAATAAACAGCAATAATTAGGTCTTCCTGGAAAACAGATGAACACTGTTATTAAAACTTTTATTATCTATATGTTTTGTATGAATCAAATTGCCTCCAGCTGCTATAATTTGGGAGCGATGACGATGAGGGAAGAAGTAATAATAATGAATTAAACCATAAACAGATCCTGCCTGGGGAAGTTGTAGGGGCTGCTTCAGAAACTGAGCCTGAGATTCTGCCCTGGTCTGCAGGAGGCAGGCCCTGGAGCCCAAGGTCTGGAGTGGGACCAGCAGCACCCACAGCTCATCCTGAGATTTATGTCTCAAATATGGCCTCCAGGGAGGATGGTTCCTAACAGAATGTGGGTGATTCCTCTCTTCTTCTCTTTGCATTAAAATGAAAATCATTACCTGTGCCCATAAAAGTATTCTAGTTTCTTTCACTTTGGAATTCATTTGATTACTTCTGTGGCTTAGAGAATGTTGATATACATAGATGGACAAGAAAATTCTATTATTTAAGCAAAGCCTTAAAGAAATACTGAATTGCATTTTACAAGTCAAAGAAAAAACACAAAAAGTGTCACTACTGAGACTATCCCGAGCATTTTATATAGTGCTGATGACCTGGCAGCCTTGGCTGAGGAGGTCATACCTAATTAAGGAGCCAAGTGCTGCCCTGTGGTGCTTCTTTTCCAGTTCTGTGTCCCTGAATGTCCTGTTTTTAAGTTCCATTCATTTGGCAAGCCCTTGAGAGGCATTTTCAGTTCCTCGCCCTGGAGGTGGATGGTGCTGATATTGATTTCACCCGCACAGAGCAACACCCCCTGCCATTAAGATGGCTTTTTGACTCACCCTACATTCACTTTAATAACGTGTTAGAGATCTGCAGAGTGGGCCATCAGCGTGACTTGAGTCTCCCCCAAGCTCCTCACTGATTACTGTAATGGAGCAGCAGCACACAAAAATTATGGCTGAACCATGGGTCTCAGGGTCCAGTTCACACCTGGGGGTTCTTTGAATTCCTTGAATCTGGGGGTGTCACCTTAGTTAGAAACTCAGTGTTTTAGACTTCACATCTTCTCTAACTTCCTAGCCGGGACACAGAAAACAGAGTGTTTTTTGCATTTGTGTTAATTTGTATGAGCTAACGGTTCCCCCCTGCCATGCACCTTCCTTTTAGGGTACAGGATTCTCCAAAAACAGCCACTGAGTTCTGTTTCTTCTCTGTCCCCTAAAGTAGTGCTTAAGTGGATTCCTGGGCTTCTAGTACCACTTAAAATAGCCAGAAACATTGTCAAATAGAATTTCCCATGGAAAGCTTCTCTCTAGGGTCCCCATCATACACATATGAACCAATTGTGTAGTTTTGCTTCCTGGTACATGGATTTCCACTAATAAAACAAACCAGCAATGAATGATTATTTAGCTCCACTGCATATATCTGTGTCCAACAGATTTCTCATTTTATCAGAAACATTATAAAATGTGACAAATGTCAAACAGAGAGAAAAGTCATTTATTTTGTCCTTTCTTATCTTAAAAGATATTTGCTTTTAAAGATTCTTATGTGTTGCTCTCATCTTACCATGATCTCCCTTTTGCGACAGAAAATAAATACTGATCCTTGATCTTCTGAGAGAAGTTATGTTTCACAAAGACTTATGAGTGCGATCATAAAAAGAGTGTTTTCCAGGCTGGGTGTGGTGGCATATGCCTGTAATCCCAGCAGCTCATGAGGCTGAGGCAGGAGGATCCCAAGTTCAAAGCCAGCCTCAGCAAAAGTGAGGCACTAAGCAACTCAGTGAGACCCTGTCTCTAAATAAAATACAAAAGGGCTGGGGATGTGGCTCAGTGGTTGAGTGCCCTCAAGTTTAATCCCTGGTACCAAAAACAAACAAACAAAGAAGAAAAGGATATTTTCTATGTGAGGCGAGGCCAGGCCACAAGGGCCTGATTCTAAAACAGGAAGAAATTCTTCTCTGGGGGGAAAAGGTCAGGGCTCTCACTGGCGGAGAAGTGAAATGCTCCATTTATAGCCAAGCAGTAGCTCAGACCGTGGGAGAACCTACATCAAAATGAGCACATGTCTTGGAATTTGGGGCCTGTTATCTGAGACAGAGTGGGAGATACTTTTGTAGGATGGACCACTGAGGATCCTACCATCTCCAAGAAAGAATCCATTTTACATTGCTCTTATTATATCCACATATATGACTTCTCTGTATTCTCATAAAATCCTGGTACCTGTCGTTCTCTATTCCTAACTCTTATTCAGAGGTTTTCTGTTTTTGTTTTTTTTTCTTTTTTCTTTTTTTTTTTTTTTTGGTTTGGTTTTCAATGCTGGGGATGGAATCCAGGGCCTTGCAAAAAAAATTTAGGCAAGGGCTATACCACTGATCTACACCTCTTGCTGCCCAATTCTTAATCAAACACAAACATCAGGGGTACTAAGAGCAATTGTGATTCTTTTTTCCAGTTCTCCTTGCATCAAGGTTTGTACCTACCGTATTTACACACTTTGTGGCCATCCCCCAAGAAATTCCAACCAATGTGGATTTCCCACTGTTAATTCTCCAACACCCTCCGGGGCTCTTACCTGCTCCCCTGTGCTGTGATTTCTTCTCCGCCATCCTACTTTCCTTCCTGGAGTCCACAGGTGGGGTGACTTTCTCTGGCTCTCCAGGACTGGCCTCTGGGGTCACAGAGGAGTACGGGAGGGTGAAGCTCTGCAGAAGTGGCTTCCTGGGTAGTGGTGGCTTGAAGCCGAGCTGCTCAGGTGCCCGGGCCTTCCCCTTTCCTTGGCCAGTGGGAGACCTGGCACCTCGAAGAGCCGGGGTGGCCCCCGTGTGACCCTGCTCGTCTTTGGAGGGCAGAGTCAGTCCTCTCTCTAACCGCACCTCCGCACTGTGCCTCTTGACACCTTTTGCCTCCTGGGAAGGGCCCTCTCTGTACTTTAGAGAGAGGGAGGTGGAGCGCAGCTTGACGGGGAAGGGGTTTCTGTCCTCGCTTGGGGGTGGCTCCTGCGCGGCGGGGCCGGCCTCTGCGCCGCTTGGAGTGGTCTTGGCATTCTGGGGGCTTCTGCTTGGCCGGGCCTGGCCGCCCACAATGTCCCCTGAGTCCTGAGGGTCGCACTCTGCTGGCTTCGGAGGGTCTGGTTTTGCGATGACGGGCTCAGGGAGCCCCTGGAGGTCATCGAGCGCCGCCTCGCTCTTCCAGGCCAGGCCGCTGCTCCTCAGGAGCGGCAGGCGGGGACCGGGGACCCCGGCGGGCTCCGGGGCTCTGGCGGCGCTGGGCCGTGACCGCGCCCTGCTCGAGGACACCGAGAACTTCTTCACGCTGCGCAGCTCCCCGCCACCTCTCCCGCTTTTCCGCCCCGGCGCTGCCCTCTCGGGGGCCCCCTGGGAGGGCTCCGCCCGCTCAGCCTTGGCTCGGGCTGGGCGCGGGGCCTCTGCGTCCGGGGCACCCGGGCTGCGCTCCCGCGGGGGTGACTGCCCTGCGCCCTGCACCGGGGACCCGGCCAGGCCCACGCTCGCCGCCCTGTGCTTCAGGCAGCTCTTGGGCATCGGAGGGCTGGGGGCCAGGGCGGGGGGCTCTCCCGCGGCTCCGTTGGGTCCTGGCACTGCCAGTGCGGGCCCCTCTTCCTCCTGCACGCGTTGGCCTGGACCCTCTGGATCCGAGGGTGTCTCCAAGGTGATGGTGGTGGTGACAGTCTGGGTAGGAGCCACATTCCTCTCAGAGACGCAGGGCGCTGGTGGACTTCCCATCTCTCCAGAAGCACACACCTCCTCCTCAGCTGTGCCCGTGACTAGGGGACACGGGCCTGCAATGGGTGGCTCCTTTTGGACTTCACTGACCTTCTGGATTTCACTTTCCTGGATTTCGATATCCTGGATTTCATTGTTTTTCTGGATTTCACTCTCCTGGATTTTGTTCTCCTCCTGGATTTCCATCTTCTGGATTTCACTGTCTTTCAGGATTTCATCCCTTTTCTGGATTTCGCTGTCCTCCTGGATTTTGTCCCTGAACTGTATTTCACTGTCCTTCTGAATTTCGCCCCTCTTCTGGATTTCACTGTTCTCCTGGATGTCACCCCTCTTCTGGATTTCACTGTCCTCCTGGATGTCACCCCTCTTCTGGATCTCACTGTCCTTCTGGATCTCACTGTCCTTCTGGACTTCCCCCATCTTCTGGATTTCACTGTCCTTCTGGATTTTGCCCCCCTTCTGGATTTCACTGTCTTTCTGGATTTCACCGTCTTTCTGGATTTCACCACTCTTCTGGATCTCACTGTCCTTCTGGACTTCCCCCCTCTTCTGGATTTCACTGTCCTTCTGGATTCTGCCCCCCTTCTGGATTTCACTGTCTTTCTGGATTTCACCGTCTTTCTGGATTTCTCCACTCTTCTGGATCTCACTGTCCTTCTGGATTTCACTGTCCTGGATTTTGCCCCTCTTCTGGATTTTACTGTGCTGGATTTCATGGTCAGAACTAGGATGCAGGGAGCTTTCTGGCAGAGATGGGGACTCCAAGCATGGGGCTGAGACTGCCACAGGCTCAATGACTTCCGGGATCACTAGGGAGCTTGAGACATCATCCCCAGGGGAGAGCCCATCCTCAACGCTAGCACTGAGTGCTGGGCAGTGCTGTAGGCGGGCACGTCTGGCACGGGGTCCCCCAGGTGGCAGCAAGGTGACCAGTCCCCGAGGCTCAGGGTCTCTATGCAGCATCAGATCATATTGTCCAGAGCTGGGGTTCTCTTCTGTGCTGACTTGAGGCCAAAGCTTCTCATCATATTCTTCCTCTTCTGGGGTGCCTATTAGATCGCACAGGGATTCAGACTGGGCCCGCTAGGAGAAAAAGGAGAGAAGACACCATCACTGCAGCAGATATTTGGAAGTCCAGGACTTCACTGTTTTCTTTAAGGCCTAAAATGGTTTTGAGAAAGCAGTATATCTCCAGAGCTGAAATTCATACACAGCTGTCTTTTCTTAATCTCTCCTTATTATTCTATCTGGACCCTCCACAGAACAATGGCAATTACACCCTCAAAATAACTGTTGCTATTAGCTGCTCATGGCTGAGCCCAAAAACCAGCAGATGCCACTGTCTAGGGCAAGGTAGAGAGACTCAGTGTGTGTCATACTGTGCTATGCACTTGTGACTTCACGTAGTCATCAGTTCATCCCAATGAGGAGGGGGCCGTCATTCCCTTTTGCACTTGGAGAACCAGGAGCTCAGAGTGTCAAAAATCTTGGTCTAGTCCAACCTATCAGGTAACTACCAGGTGGACAGCTATTGCTCTTTCTATGACCCTGTGCTCCTCTAAGTCAGTCCCCCATGTCAGCTCTCCTCAGGGATGCACCCTCAAAGGTTTCCTCAAAGATGATTCATTATCATGTCCAACATGGCCACAGTTAACCACAGCTCATAGAACAAAATCCAAAAATTTCAGATGAATTTAAAATCTTATTCTGTGGTCTTACACTGTGTCTCCTACTCTCTACTCAAGTTTAACCAAGGTCCCCTCACTGTGCCCAAGGTGGGGGCTGAATGCTGCCCCCCACTCTGTGCCTCCCAGATGCTGGACCACCATCCCCAAGAACTATAGCAAATTTGTCTCCTCTAGGTAATCCTATAGTTTATGAGTCTCCTTTTTGGCCGCCTGAAGCACTACTGGCTTGACAACCTTACACTCCCTTGTGGCATTTTTTAGTTCTAAAAGGTCTCTAGAATCTAGACTCTAGTCTAACTTCCTCCTGATTGTCAAAAAGTTCATGCCTCCTGTCTCAGGAAAAAAGAATGTAATTAAGATAATCACAAACCACTCAAAAGCAATATGTAAAAATGTCTCAAAGGTTGAGGGTACTGAGGTTGATCTTTCTAAAAAGCTCAGGACATCAGACCTCAAGTGTCACTCAGGCCGTTGCATAAACATTGCTCTTGTCCTGAAATGTGACACTCTGGGGTATGTTTGTGGTTTTATTGTTATTTGTTGTTTTTTTTTTTCTTTTAGATTTTTTCTTTTATTTTTTGTGGTGCTAGGGACTGAACCCCGGCCCTTGCTCATGCTAGGCAAGTGGTCTACCACTGAGCTACACCCCAACCTGTGTTAGTTTTAAGCATTTCCCAGCTGGCATCCACTTGCTAAGCAAACCCAGGAAGATTGGGCTGTTTATGACCATACATAACTAAAACACACAATCCTATTCTGGGTTTAAAAAGATGATGCACAAAGAAACCTAGGGAAGATTATGGGCTGGGGTTGTGGTTCAGTGGTGGAATGCTTACCTATCATGTGTGAGTCACTGGGTTTGATCCTCAGCACAACATAAAAATAAATAAAAGTATTGTGTCCATCTACAATGAAAGAAAGAAACCTACAGAAGATCATCCAGAGCTGCAAGTTCCTAACTTTGCCATGTCCCTGGCCTTTGGATACTACAGGAAACTACTGTTGTTGAGATCGCTGTGGGAAGTGAGCCATGATTTGAAACTATCACAGAAGCCAGGCTGTTAGCAGAAAGCTGGGGAGTAGATCTGAGCCACTGGCAGCTACGAGGGGGGCCGCTGTGGAGGAACAGGGCAGGATGAAAACTGGTGTGGAGCGTGGACTCCAGAGGTAGGCTTGGATGCTGAGGAGAGCCCCAGGGGAGCACTGCCTGGGTGTTTCGCCCACTCCATCTCTGCAACCTCCTCATCACCTCCCTCTTGGGTCCTTACAGTGGCTTTTCTCCTGGAAACATCCCAAGCAAGCAGAAATGGGGGACCAACTGCTTGGTGTGCAGCAAAGTGCTATTATGGCTAGCAGCTCATCTGGCCAAAAAGGAATCCCCTTAGAGCAGTGTCCACATCATCTCTGTAGCACCCGGGGCAGACAGCAGGCATCAGTCTCTAAGACCTGGGTCCTATGTTTGGTGTCTCTGCCAGCCAGGAAACGTGCGGCTAGTCATCCAACCACACTGCTCCTATCAAAATGGAGTTCACAAGGTTCTCAGCTCTTGGCACTGACTGGGTTGGCTGAGGACCCACTGGTAACAGTGAGATGTGGGTGTGAACATCCATGGGCGCTCAGCTCTTCTGCATGTGGAGCCACACACAGAGCGTGGTCTGTGGCAGAAAAGAATGCTGAGGGAACCACTCGTGTTTGTCTTTCCCAACCTCTGCTGGGGCTGGGGGCAAACGGGGTCAGCCTGAACATGTATTTCAAATTCATGGTAAATATCACAGTCTTTATAGCTGGGTTTTTATTATACATGATGGGGTTTGTAAAATAAGAGCCCTTTTCATTTATCCTAAAGCTCCAAAAGATTCAGGAGCCTCCATGATATGAAATGATGTCAGCCCCTGGAAACACAGCTGGAGAAGGCCAGGCCAGGCCAGCAGCAGAAACAGGAAGAGGCCACAGTGGAGACACTGAGGATGGCTGAGCTCACTGGTGGGGGAGGGGTGATGGAGCAAAAGACCCTGGATGATATGGGGGATCAAAACAGCAGGGGAAAGTAGGACTCATTGCCCATAAAGCCAAAGGGACAGTGACCCTCTACAGAAGTGCCCAGGGACAGAAAGGTAGCAGAGGGGCCATGTGCAGCTCATTCCCACAGCTGAAGCAATAAGGAAGCAGCTGGAAGCATCTTGATCCCTACAAGGGGCCAAGGCACGAGGAAGGTCCTCCTGGTTGGGAAGAGGGACCAGAGGACCAAAGGGCAAAGGGGGCTGTGGATACTGATGGACAAGGCCTCCAATGTGTAACCTAACAGTGAATGGAGGGACAGTGGTGACCACTGGGAAAATACGGGCACCTCTGAGAACCTGAGATAGCCAGGCCTGCTCCCTACCCAGCAGTGAAGGGGAAAGGCAGCTGGGAGATACCGAAATATCAGAGGGTAAATCCAGGAAGACTGGTTACATATTTCCCCCAACTGAGTACATCCAACTTTCTGTTATTCTACAAAGTGAAATTCAAGAACAAAGTCAAGTTCAAAAGTAAAGTTCAGCTCTGCCTAGGGGGGCAGTGCCAGGGGATGGCGCATTCCATATGGAGAGTAGGCCAGGCTTCCCTCTGTCACCAAGTCTTGGCAGGGCTGTGGCCAGCCAAATGTGCCCTTACCAGAGGAGAAGGCCTCTGCGTGGGAATGAAGCCTAGAACTGAGCCCAGAAGGGAGCTGGCCCTGTGCCTGGCCCCACGACTCCACCCTGAAAGAACATGGGCAGGTCTGAAGTTCCCTGGACCCATCAAGTCCCCACGGCGCACAGCCCTGTCACTGTACTGGACACCCAGCATGTGCACTGGCGCTCTGGCCCCAGCTGGCAAGTTAGTCTGCGGTGACCCACCTGACTCTTCTGGCATAGTCAATCCTGCTTCCCTGAGTTCACAAAGCGCCTCCCACACGTCCAAGGGAAACTCCACTCTCCCCAGGGAGCCCTGAAATCCTGAGTGGGCCCAGCCTGCTGTCTCCTGCTGAAGCGCCTAGCTTGTCCTGGGCACTTCATCAACTCCTCGCCATCATTCTTGAGGGAAGGAGAGGGAAGAGGATGTTGGTCTGTGAGTGTTTCTCTAAGCACGGTCATTCTCTTGTGTCCAGGCTGGCCCTTTGCCCTGATTGTCACCTCCTCCAGGCAAAGAGGACAGTGGCACCCTGTTGACCTCTAACTCACAGATACCAGGAGGTCAGAGTACCCCATGAGTCAGCTGAGCTTCCGGAACCAGGAGACGATTCTCCCAAGCAGCATTACCACAGAGGAGCCTGTTCTATGTGAGGCAAGAGGCCCATGCTGCCAACTACGTCCTCATGCTGCTCAGGTGTCCCCTCCAGGGTTTCAGCTCCTGTCACCCACTCGTCATCCTCTCGAAGGCTTACCAAATGCCAGCCCTGTGGCTAGCACCACTTGAAGGGCCAGAGGTACAGCTGGGGACAGGGTCGCAAAGAGGACACACACATTTTCAAAGGTCCTGTCTATGTGTGGCAAGTCCACTGAAGGAGTGAAAGAAACATGGTGACCCTCTCTGGGACAGGAATCCCGAGATGAGACCCCTAAGGCTGAGACAGAGCTGGCCAGGAACAGAGCGTCTTGGGCAGGGGGACACAGCAGTACCAAGACCTGAGGCTGGGGACATCTTGAGGAGCTCAAGCAGCAGAAAGGAGACCCAGGTGTGGGGCGAGAAAGCAAGGAGAAGAGAAGCCCAGGACCAAGATGCTGTGGCACCACACACGGCATGTGAGTGACAGGGTCTGGGGAACGAGTGAGTGAACCTGTGACGGGCTTGATATAAGGGAGGGACATTGACTGATGTTAAAAAAGATGAACCACCAACTCCAGTTCCTGCAGTGTGGTCCCGTTGACAGGGATGGTGCTCAGAGGGAGCGTGTGACCCAGCGGGGGAGAGGGCAGGGTAGGGGCTGAGGGCCGCCCAGTCCACCCGTCCTGGACCCTGGGCAGAGGAGGAGCCCACTACCGAAGACAGCCGCCTCATTTTGCTGGACCGCTGGTTGCGGGGCTTGACCAGGAGCTTGTGCTTGGCTGCAGAGTTGTCCAGGCAGGAGGAGAGTTCTGGAGGGCAGCTGAAATCAGCCACAGGTGCCAGGCTGCTATCCGAGGTCCGGGAGGAGTTGGTGGCATCGTTTGTGTGCTCTGGAGACTGTGGCCGGGATGAGGACACTAAAGAGACCTTCATGGGACAAGGAGCAATACACCAAACATTAACTTCATGACACGACAGGGCTGGGCACAGCCCACAGACACACTGGCTCTCCTGTCATTGTGCTCCCACACTCTCGGGCTTTTACCTGGGAGGGAAACTTGTTCAGGTTGGCTCTTGACAGGGAGCATTCAGGATACTCCTTTAGAAAGTGAAACGGCTGGGAGTTCCAAGTGTTGGGCCAAACCCTGGAAACCTTCCACTCCTTCCCAAGGCCATGCAAGAGCCTGTGAACAGGCTTCCTGAGCAGGACCACTCTCCCCCACGTCCCCAGGAATCTTCCCGAGGGACCAGTCCAGCCCGTATCTCCAAGGGTAGAAGCTCCTGCTTTTGTCTGTGGAAGCTGAGAGCTGGGATTTTAGGGGCCAGGGCACTGAAGTTGTCCAGGAAGGAGGGCAAGGCCCTACCCAGCATCCTATCACTGGACTTTTGTTCGTTCTTGGAGAGCTCTGCAACCTCCTGGGGCAATCTGGCTTTAAGTCACCACTTGGTAAGTTAAAAGTATATTAATAGATTGTACCTCAGTGGGGAAAAACTGATGGTCAGCAAAGAAAGAAGGTGTTTCCAGGGAGGAAGGGGATTCTGGCACTCACTGGAAGACCAAGGGCAATATCCTAAGATACCTGCCCATCAAACATGGCATACTCCCTCACGAAGTACAGTCTACATGGGTTATGCTGCTAAGATGTGTGCAACATGAGCCTTTGCTTACTGGTCTACAAATCTAACAGCCCAAAGGTTTCAAAGGGCAAACAGCCCCTGTCCCTCCTCTACGTGAGTCTGCACTTGTATTGCTGGTTTTTAGCTTCAGCTCACTTTAACCTCTTGGCTGGGAGACCTTGGCATGGAGTTTAGCTTCCCTGACTTCTGTCCACATGTAAACCCTGCGCCAATGTCACAGCTCATGTTGCCATTAGGGGACTCTTCTGTCCTCAGAACTCTCATTTTTGTCCCCACTGTCATTTTGAAAGTTCTCGGGAACTGGGAAGACCAATCCCATCATGACTAGGAGGATCATGAGTTCTGCCTTTGATCTGTGGTGTAACTTCACGGGGTGGGGTATGGAGGGGTCTCTCTGGGGAGGAGGCTGGGACGGGGAAGCTGGCTTATGTCTTCATGGGTGAGTTGGCAGCATCCAGAGAGTCATCTGCACTGCCTACTCCTGATCACTATACGTTCCCTGCAGTCTTGCTTCTGGAAGCAGAGGACTTAGTCTAAGTCGTGCAGAATGTGGCACAAAGGAAATGCATTGAGGTTCAGGAGATTTTTTAAGGGGTGACCTTAGGTCATAGGTGTTTTCCAAAGTTTGTCCTCAAAATGGGGCTCATTTTGAGGAATGGGCTGGGGACAGTGCCCACATGAACGGCCATCAATCAGGGAGCAAAGCTGGTGGGGCCAGGCCAATGGGTGAAGAGAAGCTGCTGGCCCTGCTGGGAAGGGGGAGCACCCATCTATCTGATCTCACTCGACCCTCCCCAGGCCCTCTGAGGACATGGATTCCAAGAGGTGATAAAGCTTGGTAAAACCTTAATACCAGGAAATCTAGAACATGACCAGTTAGACATATAAAACCCCATCAGGTAAGGTTTCATTCATTGTGTTCACGCACGCTGCAATGAATTTAAAAAATAATTCCATGTTTCCCGAAAAACTCACTGTCAGGAAATACCTCCGTGGCCATGTCCATATTTGCTGCCAACGTCTTTTTTTTTTTCTTTAACAATAATCTCAAGTGGCTTTGTCAAGCACATGGGCTTAGAGAAGGTGTCATACAGGATAAAATTAAACAGCCCCAAATCCCGTCCTCTTGGGATTTAAGGCACCATTATGTTAAATATCCCGTTACATAAGCACATTTCTAAAGGATGCATCATCTTTTTCCTCTCAATCGGCCAACTGTGTACAAAACACTCTCTGGGATCCGTGATGATTGGAAAAGAGTACATTTTTTCTTTTCCTTTTCTTTCTTTTGTATCCTAAAGGCTCAAATTTTGGTTTTCATGAAGCTATGGATTGTGCATATTATCCAATCATTGATTTTTTAAAAATCTCAGAAACTTTGTGTGTGTGTGTGTGTGTGTGTGCATTAACCACCATAGAAGAGATGCTGTGAAAAACAAGGTCAGCCCTGGTCCAGCACGAGTGGCCCCCCCGCGGCTGACCATGGCATTGTACATCATGGTGTGAGTGGGTTTGGAACTGGGCTGGCTCTCTAATGCATGGGGTTAGGTACCACCTGTTCCTCTTTACTACCTGTCCTCGCTGAAGGAGGAGAAGTTGTAGGAAGTGTGAGAGTCAGGGATCCGTGGGATGGGAGGAGGGAGAGTCACTCAGTGCTGAATAAGAAGCCATCTCCTACCACGTGGCCTGAGACAGAGTCACGTCTGCTCCTGAGAGGGTGACAATGAAACTGTACCTGGAAGTGTTTTAGGGTATGAAGAAATACAGGGTCAGCTTGGCAGAGCCCAGAAACAGGCCATTCTCTAGTCCTTCTTGAGGGTGAAGAGGTGTGGGCAGCCTCCGGACCCCCAACCCCACTCTGGGAGTGAGCTGGGACATGCTCACCCTGGAGCTGGAATCTGGAGGGAATAATTCTCCAGGTAGCTCCACGACAGCCCCAACGTGGGGGCTGACTTAGCGGCCACATCACAGTCCTGATTTCCCATCAGTGATGGAAGCCACAACTCCACAAGAACAAAACATAAGAAAAAAAAAAAAATCAGATCTGTGGTGGACTCGTAGGCATCCAAGCTGAAATAGCTGCTGAACATAATTGAGAGCAACACAGAATCTGCAGCCCCACCATGAACAGCTCCTAGGCCAGCCAGGGGCGAGAGCATTCCAAAGATCCCAGGGCGGGTGCGTGACCCTAATACTTGAACTCTGACCTTTATCTGCTTTTCAAGCATCAACACACCTGGAATAATTCCAACTCATCCGTCCACAGCAAGCCTTATCCACACGGGTAAAACGACCGTCTACTTTATCACTCGGGTCAGAGTGCACTGTGTGGGTGTGAAGCGTTCTTACTACAGTGAAATACCATTTTCAGAGAGCAGCAGCAGCACGAGCTACAGTGTTTATGCATGAGAAAGAGCTCACCTGCTCAGGCCCCTCCTCTTGGATTTTATGGGGAGCAGGGTATTAGGATCAGCTCCTCCACCCCTCTCTGCCCCTCTGGGGTCATAAACTCTCCTGCAGTCCAACTTTCTCTGCTGCCCTGTTTACCAGTAACAGTCTGCACATTCTAGACCAACAGGCTCTTGTGGTCCAAAGACAAGGACGTGGCGTTTAGACCAGTGTACATGTTCACTGTTCCCTTCTTTCCACTCAACGTCACAGTAGCAGAGAACACACAGAAAGGCGGCTCCCTCTTTTAAATGAGATTGTGGGTCTGACTGTCTGCACGGACAGGAAAGACGAGGTATCGGTTTGAACACCATCACAAAAATATGTCATCCAAACCACATCTCCTAACCAGACCTGAATTTCTGCTCAAAGAATGAAAATAAACACAGCCCAAGGGCCAGCTGCAGGCTCAGGTGACCTGGCTGCCCCCAGGAGCCCCCAGAGCTCCAGCTGCCCTGGATGATTGGCGTGGATGGAGGGTCAGGGCCCAGGTTGCACTCGCCTTTATGGTCATGCCGGGACCCACGTCGTGCAGCAGGGACATCTCAGGGGGGCTCCGGGGTAGCCCATCATCCTCGGAGCTCATGCCGGTATCCTCTGCCCGCTTGGTAGGAAGACCCCCTGGAGGAGGTGGAGGCCCCATTTTCACATGACATTGTATTTTTAACTAGATTGAAATAAAGAACATTTGCTCTTAGTATTTTCATCAATAACATTTATCAACAAATCTCCCTACTCCAATTAATTCATTTGGGAAATATCAACACTCTTGCATGGCGGGGGTTATTAAGCTGAAACAGCATCTACTACCAGCTCTTGTGGTCATTTCTCTTGGTTGGTTTTCTTTGGTACTGGAGATTGAACCCAGGAGCACTTAACCACTGAGCCACATCCCCAGCCCTTTTCAAACTACTTTTTTTTTTTTTTTTTTTGAGAACAGAGTCTTGCTAAGTTGCTCAGGGCCTCACTAAGTAACTGAGGCTGGCCTGGATCCTCCTGCCTCAGCCTCCCAAGCCACTGGGATTACAGGTGTGTGCTACCCAGCTTGTCATCTCTCTCATTGTACATCTAAGCTGTAACCCAGAAGGCATCAAGATCAAGGGGTAAGCAGCTTGGTGAGTCTTAGGAGACTTGTGATGTGCCTATTACTTTAGAACATAGCAAACAAATGAAGCAGAAATCACTTTAAAACTTCTGGATTAATATTTGACATCCAGGGGCTAGGGTTGTGGCTCAGAAGTAGAGCGCTCGCCTAGCACATGTGAGGCCCTGGGTTTGATCCTCAGCACCACATAAAAATAAAATAGAGGTATTGTGTCCAACTACAACTAAATAAACAAAATAGTAAAAAAAAAAAAAAAAATTTGACTTCCAATCCAAACCAAGGGTCACTGCCAAGGAAAATGCTCACCTGGAGGGCTTTAATCCGGTCGCACACATTTTCTTGGGAAAATACCCGCACCGGCCGAGCAGGGTCTTGTCCCGACTCAGGAATAAAAATACTGTCGTGCGAGAGGGCCCGGCTGCCCAGTGTGCCCCTGGACTCCCTGGGATAAAAAAAGTGACTGTGAGACCCTGGCCACCTCCCCCTTCACCGACTCCTGGGGACCCAGAGTGAAAGAGGGGCGGTGTGGGTTAACCGCACCGGGCATATCCTACAAGTCCTCTGTGTGTGTCGTCTGTAGCTCTTGGTTCCCGTTTTTGCCTCTCAACCGTCAAATACCTCGGGCTACTCCTAGGAGCTGTGCAGAGGTGGGAATTTTCCTAAGAGAACTGAAGGCTGTGCGAATTCTTTTTATTAGTGGAAAACCTGAGGTGTGAGGTTGGAGATGCCAAGCCTGCAGGGAGGAAGGGTGGGGAAACCTATGTGGCAGGAGGAGGGCATGGCTCAGGGGCAAATGTGCAGCCCCTCCGTGTTGCCCAGTGGGCTGAGGGCCTGCGGGCTGGAGGCGCCATACATCCCCGCTTGTCTGTAGTGAGAATTGCCATCTGCATGGCCGCATCCTCTTCTGATCACCTGGCACGATCCTTGCCACTCTGTGCTTACGTCCCAAACATCAGTGGCAGGCCCTCCTGCCATCGCCGTGCCAGGCCCTTTTCCCAACCCGGAGCTCAAGGATCTGATTTGGAACTGAACCCATGGGACATTCATAAAATGTCCACAGGATGTGGGAATGAGCTGTAAGATTTTCCTAGCAGCCTGAACAATAGGTGGAAGGAGATGATGGAGACTATGGTGAAGGAAGGAAAGCAGCCTCTACATTCGCTGGTCTTGTGCACACTGACTCCCCCTCTGCCCTTCCCGGGGGCATCCTGTCCTCTCTGGGGCATTAGGGCTCTGAGGTGTGGCCCTGCCCTACTGCAGATCAAGCTGTGTCGGTCAGCAATGCTTCCCTTTAATTACACTCTCTGGCCTGCAGGGGCAAGCTTGCAAGTAGGCACCCTGGCTCCCAGAAGGGGGGGGTCCTCACGTTTCTAGGAAGGAATCAGCACAGTGGAAAAAACTGTCCCTTTCTGCCACTGGCACAGCTCCTAACACAAAGGTCTCTCTCACACCCACACACCTGGATCTCTGTCCAGCAGCACAGCCCATGGCCACACTGTCTGGAAACCACAGCGCTGCCCAAACACCTGCACTCGGGTGTCACTAGTGGAATGAAGAAGTCTCCAAAGAGACACCCTAGCCAAACACAGGAGGCCACGTGAACAAGGCCTTTCACCACGGCAATGTCTGTGAGATGGGGAAGCAGCCAACATGCTCCTCCGGGTGTTGAACAGAATACTCCAGGAGCATCCTAGGAGGAGGACTCTGCCTCTGACTGAAAGGAAGATCCTCTCCCTGCACGAGCTCACCAGAGGAACCTGCAGAAGTACAGTAAGCGGCACACAGCCACACTCGGGGCACACCAGCTCTGGGAGAAGGGGGCAGGGACATGCACAGGAACATACGAGAACACAGGTGCATGCTCTGCTTTCAAAAAATAAAAACAGGGGCTGGGGCTCTGGCTCAGCGGTAGCGCACTTGCCTGGTGTGTGTGAGGCACCTGGTTCGATTCTCAGCACCACGTAAAAACAGATAAAATAAAGATCTATCAACAACAAAAAAATATTTTTAAAAAAGTAAATAAAAACAGAAGGACAAGTGAGGCACCTGGTTCGATTCTCAGCACCACGTAAAAACAGATAAAATAAAGATCTATCAACAACAAAAAAATATTTTTAAAAAAGTAAATAAAAACAGAAGGACAAGTCACAAGTGAGGAAGAATGGTTTCCTTTGCGGGAAAGGAAAACTAGATAGAGAAACAGGATACAAAGGTACCTGCCTTTACAATTTTTGTCTTTTAAACTGTAAATGTTTCCTATAAAACAAAAGACAGGGAAGGGAAATAGAGCAATCCCTAAAACTAGAAAACAGAAACAAATGAGCCAACTTTTATAGCAGGTTGTTGACAGATCTACAAAAAGAAAGGCAGGATTTCAGGTGCCTTTAACTCTGTGTCTGAATGACCTTTTTTTTAAGATATATATTTTTAATTATTGGTTGATTTTTATGTGGTGCTGAGGATCGAACCCAGTGCCTCCCACGTGTGAGGCAAGCGCTCTACCACTGAGCCCCAGCCCCAGTCCTCCAAATGACTTTTGCTTCCACATCCAGGGCAGGATGAATTCTACGAACAACAAAGACAAACATTTCAAATTGCACCTAGTAGTTCTATCAGTGGTAATGTGGGCTAAAAACAAAACAAAACAGAGTAGAGCAATGTTCGTGGAAGGCCACCTGTGCATAGAGCACACAGTGACTTTATTCCAGGATGAAGAAAATGAGTAACTATGCTAAGATTTCCAATAGAAAAAAAAAAGAGAGAATACAAAGAATCAAAGAGATAAGACTTGAATGAAAATAACAGTGAATTAATGATTATTCTTTAAGCCAAACGAATTTCTTAGCTGTACCCACTAGAAAACTCCAGGAGCAGTAACAGCTAACTGGCAAGCAGGAAAGGAAGGAACAGAAAAGCTAAAGATCTGGATCTGGTCTCCTCCTCAGTACCACTCTTGAAAAATGTCACTTGTCATACTCCATCCCCTAAAGGAAAGTTGGGATCCTGTCCTGGATCCTGGCAAACTCTTGCAAGCAACTGAAGTCAGCTTCCTGCTACGTGCTGGAGATAGAAAGATACCAAAGGCCTGACCCCAACTTTCCTCGGGCTTCTTCTAAGAGGAGGACGTGATAAGTGCACAGGTCATTTCCCCCCAGCTAGTCCCTCTGGCTCTGCTCCTGTCTGTGGCAGGAGGGGTCACCCCCAGGTCTGTGCCTGCAACCACAGGACAGAGGGCTTGCTCCTGTCAGGAGATGGGGTGGGTGGGGTGGGGGTGAGCGTGCCCCTGGGGCTGGCCAGTGAGGTAACTCTTGCTCCCTCAGGGTCTGGGGCATGGGACCTAGAGCCTGTGTGCAGTGGGTTCCTCACGTTGCACAAGGCACCACCCATGGCCTGCCCTGCTCCCTGCCAGCACTGGAAAAAAATTAAAGTAGCAGAATCTAAATTTTCCTCTACAGTCATTTGGTGCCACCAAGTGGTCAATTTAATTTCTACACCTTAAAAATAAATAAATAAAACCACACAGGGAGAGGCTGGAGCTAGGAAGGGACAGGAACCCTCATGGGCAGGCTCAGGCCCAGGACCCCGGCTCCGTTGCTACATCCCCCACCCCCACCCAGACCCCCAGTGGGTTCATGCTCTCTGAGGAATTTCATCCTCAAATCAGAGGCCAATGTTTTAAAGAAAACATAAAAGTGGGCAGAACAACCAACCTGTTTCTTTCTAGTCACAGAAATAACGGCTGGAGGGACGGGAAGATGTGCCTGGTAACTGTATTTTGATGGACTACAAGTTACAAAAACCAGCATTTCTTCACTAGACCTTCCCCAATTTTTCACCCACACTGGGTCCCAGCCCCAACCCAAGGTATTTTTAAAAAATTATTGTAATTGTGCAAATGCATGGGGTGCAGTGTGGCTATTCAATACATGTGTACAGTGTGCAATGATCAAATAAGGCATTAACATTTCCATCTCCTTAAACATTTTTTTTGGATGCTTATATTTTTTTTAGATGCTTATATTTTATTTTTAGATGATTTTCCTAAAACTGAACAAGAAGCTTTCCTCTCTCCATCCTGGACTCGGACTGGAGAAAGCATACTTATTAGATTGCTTGGAGTTCAAGTTTAGAGAGCCATGTGTTTCTCGTATGGTCCTCAAGGTCCTCAAAGGGTTTAAGTCACATTACACCAAGGTCCACATCCTGATCCTTTGGCTTTCAGCTTCGGGATGTCAGGTAGCCTCCAAATTTCTCTCCAGCTTATTTGGCTCATTTATTTGATGGCATGTGGTACCTCTTCTCCCATGAGGGTCATGGACTTTTTTTTTTTTTTTTGTGGTACTGGGGATTGAACTCAGGGGCACTCAACCACTGAGCCACATCCCCAGCCCTTTTTTGTATTTTATTTACAAACAGGGTCTCACTGAGTTGCTTAGCACCTCGCCATTGCTGAGGCTGGCTCTGAACTCTCCATCCTCCTGCCTCAGCCTCCTGGGATTACAGGTATGCGCCACTGAACCCGTGGACCATGGACATTTAATACACCTGGCACACAGCAGCTTCCTATCCGTGCCCCACCCCTACACACATTTTCTCCATCCCATGTTTAGAAAGACAAAGGACATAACTTGTGTGGACGAACTGCTCCTGGGCTGTCCAGGAGGGGAGGAGGCCGGGAGCCCAGCAGGGTACTGAGACTCTGACAGAGGATCGGTTCTGCCGAGCCCAGATGTCCCCGCTGTAGCCAGAGCGCACGGCCCCGTGGGCCTCAACAGCAACTTACTCAAGTTCATCCTCTGAGTCATAGCCCACTGGCCCTGACTCGATGGCAATGACCTCGCTCTTGGCCGGGTTCTGCTTCCAGGTGCTGTTCCCCGTGGACGAAGGCGATTCCTTTCTCTTCTTCTTCCCAAAGAACTTCTTGAAAGTTTTGAATTTAGATTTCTTCTTTCCTATACAGAGGTAAGCAAAAGTAATAATCAGCAGGAGTGTGTGTTTCTGCGCAGGTGTGCAAGGTGCCCGTGAAGCAGAGAAAGCCCAGGTTCAGGCCTGACACCGGCCTCCTGCTTCCGGAAGTCCTTCCTTTGCTTGGCGTAACAGCCTTGCACACCTGGAAACAAAATCAGTTTGTTTATTCAGAAAATTTAAGTAAATGAGGCAAGAATGCCTTGGAGCACAATCATGGAATCTTTAACCCCCAGGAGCTTCCCTCTCACACGAAATCAAGGTTTAACGTCTAAAACATTCATAAACAACGACGACGAAAGTTCTGATCAGGTGAAGGCTGTGTGATGACCCAAGGTATTTTTTAAATATTTATTTATTCATTTTTTAGTTGTAGTTGGACCCAATACCTTTATTTCATTCATTTGTTTTTATGCGGTGCTGAGATCAAACCCAGGGCTCCAAGCATGCTAGGCGAGCACTCGACCGCTGAGCCACAATCCCAGCCCCGACCCAAGGTATTTTTAAAAAATTATTGTAATCGTGCAAATTTATGGGGTGCAGTGTGGCTATTTAATACATGTGTATAGTGTGTAATGATCAAATAAGGCATAAACATTTTTTGGGGATGCCTATGTTTTATTTTTTTAATTTGTTCTAATTAGTTATACATGACAGTAGAATGCATCTTGACACCTCATACGTAAATGGAGTATAACTTCTCACTCTTCTAGTTGTACACTAGGTAGAATCATATATGCACATAGGGTCATAATGTCCGATTCCTTCTATTAGCCTTCCCTTCACTCTCTTCTGCCTAATCCAAAGTACCTCTATTCTTCCCTAGCCTCCCTTACCCCTTCATTATGTGTTAGCATCCACACATCAGAGAGAACATTCCAGCCTTTGTTTGGGGGATTGGCTTATTTCACTTAGTATGATAGTCTCCAGCTCCATCCATTTACTGGCAAATACCCTCCTTTCATTTTTCTTTATGACTGAGTGATATTCCATTGTGAATATGTACACATTTTCTTTATGCATTCATCTGTTGAAGGGCATCCAAGTTGTTTCCATAGTTTAGCTATTGGGAATTGAGCTGCTATAAACGTTGATGTGGCTACATGACCATAGCATGCTGATTTCAAGTCCTTTGGGTATAGACCAGGGAGTGGGATAGCTGGGTCAAATGGTGGTCCCATTCCAAGTTTTCAGAGGTTCCCTAAACACTTTTAAACATCTTCAATTGTCATTTAATCATCATACATATTTTGGGGGTACAATGTAGTATTGTATACAATATATACTGGTAAAATCAGAATAATTAATATTGCCATATCTTTATCATTATTTTGTGTTTGGAGTTTCAAGTGTGTCTCCTCTAGACATTAATAAAGTATATAATAGATCGTTGTGAACTATAACCGCTCCCCATTGCTATGCTGTGGAACCCTAGAATTTACTTCTTCTGTCTGTGTTTGGATTAGCCATAATCCAGCCTCCCTCCAGCCCTCCTCCCTGCCACCTCCCAAGGCTGGAGTCATTACTATTACTCATTTTGAATGATTTTTTTTTTTTAGCTTGAGCTTTCACATATGAGAGAGAACATACAGTACCCATCTTTCTGCATCTACTTATTTTACTTGATTGTCTCTATATTATCCATTTTGCTGCAAATGATAAGATATGATTCTATTTAGTGGCCGAGTAATATTTCATTGGGTCTGTATTCCATGTTTCCTTTACTCAAGTTATTAAAAAACATTCAGATGCTTCATCTCTCCTGGACATAAACTAAGGCTCTCTGGAATAATGAGCGCCATGATGAGCTAATAACTCTTGATGAAAAAAAATGACCCAATGGCGGCCATTCTTATGCTGGAAGACGCTGTGACAGGGCCGAGTCAAATTGGGCCACATCTCCTGAATTGTTAGAATCTGCGATACTTTTTCACATTTTATGATTCGCTTCTCTGAGGTCACCTTCCTTGTCACCCACATATTCTCTCATACCCAGGACCCTATGATGTCACCGCAGTAGCTCAGCGGAGTTCATTCCTCTCCTTCCAACAGAAGGAGGTGACATCAGAGGTCACCAAGATGCTGTCTCATAGGTCGTGGACACTGGTTAAAGTGATTCAGCTGAAAACGTTTGGTAAATAATCTTGTAAGCTGAATTCCTTTTAAAACAAGAATATTTCTGTAGTGTTAGTAATAATGCCCCTCTGGGAAGCTTGCAGGTCTGGTCTCCAGGTGGAGAATCCCTTAGGATTACTCTAGCAGGGATGGAACAAGCCCCTCCCTAAGGAAAGAAAGTTCTGTAGCAAATGTGTGTTGTTAGCAGATGGTTCTTCATGAAGGTTCAGCATTTTGAAAGATTACTTTCCTGCCTTTGGTCAGGACACCTCTTGGCCTTTACCTCGTCAACAAATTGGTGCATGTCCCCAAAGCCTGAACAAATGTACAGCCCTACTATGCTGACGGTCAGAAATGCTGCTTACAGCATGAATGGTGTGGATAAGAGTGTGGCTACGGAGACCCTGAGTACAACTGCAAGGACAATGGTCAGCCCTCTATGTGTTATCTCTTCTGCCAGCTTTCTAGGTCAGTTTTTTCAATGGCTGTCTGACTAGTCCAGGTTTCTACTTCTTGAATCTGCTTTAAGCCACGTTTCTAGGAATTTATCAATTTTCCCCAAAATTTTCATATCTACTAACACCCTTGCCTGTTCCTCTGGAGTGCTGTAGCTTCGTCACGCCTCATGTTAATTATCTGTGCCTTCTCTTTGTTCTTTGACCAATTGCACCAGAGGTTTGTTGATTTTATTTGCTTATAAAACATTTGGCTTTGCAGGGTGCCATGGCGCATGAAATCCTGGCAGCTTGGGAGGCTGAGGCATGAGGATCGTGAATTCAAAGCCAGCCTCAGCAAAAGTAAGGTGCTAAGCAACTCAGTGAGACCCTGTCTCTAAATAAAATACAAAATAGGGCTGGGGATGTGGCTCAGTGGACAAGTGCCCCTGATTTCAACCCCAGTACCCGTCCCCGCAACAAAGTTTGGCTTGTCAATTCTGTCTGTGGAATATTTATTTTATATTGTATTGGTTTCTATTCTCTACTATTTCTGCAAACTTTCTTTGGGTTGATTTTGCTATTTCCAGAAAACTTCTTCAGATGAATAAACATTAATTTGACATTTTCTCTATTTTTACAAAACATACATTTAAGGCAGCACTTTCTTCTAAATCTGTTTCATGCACATGTTATGAAATGTAGTATTTTCATTACTGTTGACAATGTTTTCTAATTTTCATTATGATGCCTTCTTAGACCTATGTAGGGATTATTTAGAAAATTATATCTACATTTCCAAGTACTTGGGGATTTTCTTTTTCTTTTCTTTCTTTTATTGTATGCATGCGGGGATTTTCTATTTGTTGTTGATTTTGAGCTTAACTGCATTGTGGTCAGATAATGTACTCTGATCTGACTTCATTCAAATCCATTGGGCCTTACTTTGTGTATCAATAATTTTTATATATGATCCTAATATACTTTCAAATAATGTGTTTTTTTCCGTGCCCTGTACATATTATTATGGCTTAGAGATGAGGTGTCCCCCAAAAGCTCATGTGTGAGACAATTCAAGAAGTTTAGGGGAGAAATGATTGGGTTATGAAAACCTTAACCCAATCAGTGAATTAATCCCCTTATAAAGATTAACTGGGTGGTAACTGTAGGCAGGTGGGGAGTGGGTGGAGGAGGTGGGTCACTGGGATGTGGCTTTGGGGTTTATATTTTGTAAGCTGAGCTCAGTCACTCTCTGATTCCTGGTGTGGTGTCTGGAGCCCCTTCCGTCCACCACACCCTTCCACTCTGATGCTCTGCCTCACCTCTAGCCCCGAGGAATGGAGTCGGCCATCTGTGGACTGAGACCCCTGAAACCAGGAGCCCCCAAATAAATGTCTCCTTTTAAATCTGTTCTTGACAGGTCTTCTGGTCTCAGTAGTGAAAAGTTGACTAAAACACAGGTCGATTAGAACAAGGCCTTTTTCTCCTTGATAGACCTGTACAAATACTTTGTCTTTACTAATAAAATAGTATACATATTTGTTCTATCAATTTCAGAAAAAGACGTAAAAGAAACTAACCTATGGATCATAGATTTTCTTATCTATTTAATTATAACTTCTACTTTATATAATTTTTTGACATTATCTTAATACATAAAAATGCAAAATCATTATTTTTCTGGGGAATTGAAACTTTTATAAAATGGCCCTCTTTGTTTTTCAGTTAGGCTTTTTGCCATAAATGCTATTTTGACTAATATGAATATGGCTTTTCTGCCTTCTTTCTGCCCAGGGCTCACAAGGTGTATTTTTGTTCTTTCACCATCCTTAATTTTCTGAACCTCTGTATTGAAGATTCATATACTTAGAGTTTTAGGAATGCACTCTGGCAGCCTTACTGAAGTGGGACAGTTCATCAGTCCATTTGCCCTCACGGTGATCACTGATATATCAGTCAAAATAAGTCTACCCTCTCTGGTCTGTTTTCTCAATCTCCACTCTTGTCTTCTCTTGGATTAACTGACTGACTGCACGGTTCCCATCACAAGTTTGGAAGCCTTGCCTTTTGTTTCTGTTCTGGCAGTGGTTACCCGGCAGAGTGGGCACGCTCTATCGCAGGACCATGCATTGGACCTTAGAACACTTCGATCCCCTTTGCGACACCATTACTTCCTTGGCCTTGAGTCCTTCTTGCATCCAGGACTTCCACCAGGAAGTTCCTTCTGCCAAAGGCAGCTTCCTGCCGAATCTGCTTTCCTGGGGTCCAACGGTGGCAAACTCAGGTTTCCTTGGTTTGAAGATGCCTTTATTTCTCCTTCAGTCCTGATCCCTGTCTTTCCTGGGTTCAGAGGTCTAGGCTGACTGTTATTTTTCTAATAATATCCTGAAGCCATTATTGCATGGCGCTGTGGGTTCTGTCCTGTTGGGAAGTCCGCC